CCCATCTCTTTTTGACTCTGTCTTCCTCCCCTATTTGACTGAAATAGTTCCTTTTTACTCTTTGAAATGCTCTGTCTGTGTTAAGTGGGATGGCTTGCATTTGGTGGCACTAAGGTGGTACTCAGAGCTAAGTCCTCAGTCTTGGCATAGCTTCCATCTCTCCTCTCCAAGGATTTTTCTCCTTCCTGGTCCTTCATCCCCCGGGATTGTCGGGGACTCTGTCCTCCCCTCTTCCTGAGCCAGACGCTTCAGCTTCTGTTTCTCCTTCCAAGTACCCAGGGGGCAGATGAGAACCTCAGGGAATTTTCTCCTTTCTTGAACCTTAGCTTCCAGATCTCTAAGATGGAGTGAGGGTCTCTGCAGGGGAACTATAGGTATTTGTGTATGTGTGTGCATGCAAGTGTGTGTGTATGTGTACGCGCATGTCATGTGTCTCCCAGTAGCTCCTGGGGAAAATGGGAAAGTTAATTAGTGCCAGGATGAAAGATGCAGTGGGATAATTGCAGGTAATATTAGGACAGCTGGGAGGGTGGGGCTAAAGGCCTCTAGACCTGGGGTGGGGGGTGGATGGGCTTCTAGCCCCACTCCTGCAAACAGATCAGATACCTGGAGAGGTGGGGGGAGGGAGCATTCTGAGTGAAGGGTCTTTGTCTTTACAGGGAAATGCTTGTTAGTTGCTAAGGAACTGGGTTGTCTTTCCTGATCCAAGCCTCCCAGTGTTTTGCTAAGCTTGGGAGGGGGATGCTGGGCTGGGCTTAAGATTCCCTTGGCAGTTGGCCCTCTCCCTGGGGCTGCCGACACTCTGATGGGTCTCTTGGGAAAGACTCATCTGGAGAGGGTGAGCCCTCCCATTACCCTTAGCCTGAATGCCTGCTCCAGTTGAGCTGGGGAGCAGAGCAGGTGAGGTGCAGGCAGAGAAGGAGAGGGGAGCACGCGTTCACTGAGCAGCCTGCACATCAGGTGCTGTGCCGGGCGCCTTCCGTGCCGAATCATCTAACCATTGCAACAGGTCTTTAAGGGAGGCACGTGGAGTTCCATTTTTTCTCACTATACTGTTTTCTTTTTGCAGTTGAAACACAGGTCCAGAACAGTTGAGTAAGTTCCCTGAGATCAAAGAGCTATCAAGTGGTAGAGACTGCGAACTTAGGTGTGCTAAGAAAAGTTGTGCTTTTTAAATGACACCACCTCATGCATCTAGCTGGCTTTCTTCTTATCCCACAGGTACTTGGCACCAACATCTGAACGCATCACCATCAACCCCTATCACCGCCATCTTCACCATCAACATTATCATTATCATCTTCATCATTAGGAATTCTTCCTCTATGTCCTTTTCCATCTCTCTTTTAGCAATTATTACACAAACAAAATTCCAGGAAGCAGAGGACTGAGGGCAGTGAACTGTTGGGGTATTTGCCTTGTGCAGGTTGAGGGGGGTGGAAACGGCCTTGCGCTGGGCCAGGCCATTGCTGTCAGTGTCAGGGAGCTGACCCTCCCCACAAATCATACTTAGTCTAGAATAACTTGAGGCTAGGGGAAGGGAAGGCTTCCTTTAGGTTCTTTTAGAACTTCTACCCTTCCTTCTTGGCCTACCCAGCTTCGGGATAGATAGAAGATCTGGCCTTTATGTTATGTAGCCTGGAGGGTAAAAGGAGAGCACTCTGAGAGTGGGCTTTCTGGGTGGTGCTGATGGTAAAGAACCCGCCTCCATGCAGATTAGACATAAGAGACACGGATTCGCTCCCTGGGTGGAAACGATCCCCTCGAGGAGGGGGAGGGCATGGCAACCCACTTCAGTATTCCTGCCTGGAGAATCCCCATGGACAGAGCAGCCTGGCGAGCGACGGTCCATAGGGTCATAAAGAGTCGGACACGACTGAAGTGACTTAGCATGCATGGACATTACCTGTGAGTACTGAGAGTGGGAAGGCCTGAGTTAACAGCAGATTCTACCATTACTAGTTACAGAACAGGGAGGAGGTCCCTTAACTTACCGGAATGTCAGTTTCCTCATCTGTAAGATGACAATTGCAACACCTATGTATTGAAGGCCTGGTAGGCTGGGAAGCCAGGCAGGAATGAAAGCACTAAAGGAGATGTTGCACGTCAGGCATCTGGCATGGTGCCTGGCATGCAGACAGCACTCAATAAATGATATCTGATGATGATGGTGATAACATCAGTTCTCCTGCTGTAAAGGGGTCACCAATACTCCCCTTGGGGCTTCCCAGGTAGCTCATTGGTAAAAGAATCCTTCTGTGAATGCAGGAGGTACAGGAGCCACAGGTTCAATCCCTGAATCGGGAAGATCCCTTGGAGGAGGAAATGGCACACACCAGTATTCTTGCCTGGGAAATCCCATGGACAGAGGAGCCTGGTGGGCTACAGTCCATAGGGTCGCAAAGAGTCGGATAAAATTGAACACGCATGTGGTACTCCCTTACATTTTTTAAAAATGCTTTGTTGGCAGTTTCGAAGCAATCTCCGTACTCATTTTGTTTCTTCCTGGAGGAGGTAGTGAAAAGAAAAGGGGCAAGAGGCCCAAAGCCTTCTGCAGGTGGAGAGCTGAGTCAGATGGGCTTCCCCAAGGTCTCCTGGCCTCCAGACTTTCCCTGCCGACCCCTGGGAGCTCTTTCTCTGTGGCTTTCAGGGACGTCTGGCAAGGCTGGCTTCAGCCTAGTGCCTGGGCTAGTTTTGTTCTTTTTTCAAGTTTTGGGGCCAGGAAGGTGGGGGTCTCTCCAGCAGCTGAACTAAAAGCCCAGAACACCAGAGGAAGAGAAAAGAGGTGGGGCGGGGTGGGGGAAGGAAGGAAAGCAAGCCGATAATTTCCTCGAAGGATAAACATCCGATTTTTTTCCTCACCCAAAATAAACATGCTAGCCACAAGGAATTAAAAGCAGAAGAGGGGAGGATGTGTCTCAATTTGGGGCTGCTCTAGGAAGCTGACCTGCTATTTATGCCGGCCCTGGACACCGACCAGAGCTGCCAATTACACTCTGGGCCTCGGGGTGGGGGCTGTGGGGAGAAGGGCCCAGAGAGAGGGAGGTTTATGTACATCCAGAGAGTCCCTTCAAGGGCTGCCTTCAGTGACACTGCAAATGGATATTTCCTTTGGCTGCTTCATGTAGCTCTGCTGACATGCCTGCCTGGTGGCCTAGAATGGAGTGGGGAGTTCCTACTACCTGGGATGGTGTCAAACAGTCAAAAGGCTGTTCTATAGAATAGGAGCTTGCTGTCAATCACCTGGGTGGGGAGCTGAATCTACAGATGTGGGGGCAGGGAGGGGTTGGGGGGAACATCATCCAATCCCTTCCCATCACACAGTCTCCCACCTTCTGGTGTTTTTCAGATCCCCATGGAAAAGACCCTGATGCTGGGAAAGCTTGAGAGAAGGAGGAGAAGGGGGCAACAGAGGATGAGATGGTTGGATGGCATCACTAACTCAATGGACATGAGTCTGAGCAAACTCTAGGAGATACTGAAGGACAGGGAAGCCTGGTGTGCTGCAGTCTCTGGGGCCACAAAGAGCCGGACACGACTGAGAGACCAAGCAACAGCAGCAATCACTGAAATCTTCCCACTAGTCAAGAGTGTGCTGGGCCCAGGGGCTGGCCGGGGCCCCTTGCCTTCCAGCTAATGCAGGGCATGGCTCTAGGGAGGTAATAACCCTGGGTCCGGCTGCAGCCTGCCCCTTTCATCTGGGGATCTCAGGCACTTTGCATGCATGAGTCACCCATCTTGCTGTATTCTAGCCAAGGAGGGGGGGTAATTAACTCTTGGGAGGGAAACTGAACAGAGGGTCTTGTTGAGAGGGTGGGGGGTTGGAGGTGGGGTTGGGGGAGTTGAACCAGGGTTTAGCCTGTGAATGAGACCTTGGCACAGAGGTGCCTCCAGGGGATTTTGGGGGTGGGAAAGCCAAGAGACTTTCAGAGGATATCCAGGGGCTGAAAATCCTTCCTGTGCAGACCAACGAGTTTCTTCACAGCTTTCTAAAAGCAGACATCAGATCATGTGCTTTCTCCCCTCCAATCTATCTGTCATTTCGCGATTGCCCATCACTTCCAGGGTACAATCCAAAATGTGAACATGACTGCAAGGCCTGACCTGTTCTGGTCTTTGTCCATCTGTCCAGGGGGCCATGGTTTTGGCTTTTCTTTTTTTTTTTTTTTGGTTTTGGCTTTTCATTGCCCTATCAGCCATGGGAGCTGAGAGGTGTCATGTCTCCTCTCTGTCCCTGTCTCTACTCAGAGTTAACCCTTATCCCACTTCTCAGCCGTGAAGTGAAACATGACTTCCTCAGGAAACAGAGGCATTCCCAAGCCTTGACCACCCCCTACTCCCCATCACAAATCAGGTCCCCTCTACCCGCTCATAGCGCTTGCCACATTTGCTGGAATTTGCCTGTGGTCATCTGATGAAGTTTGCCCTCCCGTCCTGAACTGGAAGCTCCATGAGACAAGCCTCATGTTGGGCCTGCATTTGTCACACGTGAATCCCCAGCACCTTGGCCTGAGGTCAGGCACATACAATGTGCTGACAGTGTCTGTTAAATGAATGCTCAGAACTGGGAGGGGCCATGGGGATAAATCAACCAGCCCTTGCCCCTTCTTCCTCCTTCGGTTTCACATCTGAGGAAGCGAAATTTTACGGAGGGCAAGTGGCTTGCTCAAGGTCACATGGTGCCTCAATGAGCCCTCAGGGCTAGAGGCTCCCACCTCCTGCCTGTCGCTCCATCCCACCCCACTCCCCACCAACCACTTGTATTTTACAGGAGTGCCCCCAGCCCCAGTGCTGGACATTGATGGATTCCCACCTCTTGGTTTTGGAAGGAGGACAGGTTTGGAAACAAAACATCCAGCCATTAAGCCCTAGATGATTTTTTTTTTAATGTGGAAGAGAAAGGGGGTTCCATACCCGGAGAGGGGGAGTCCATACGCAGACCATGGGTGGCGAGCACTGTGGACACACCGACAGTGTGGAGCTTGAGGTCTGGCAGGCAGTTATTTCGGTTCAGGTTTGTCCGTGGTCTCATTGCTTACTACTCCCGGGTTCTGGCGACTTAGTGCATCCAGGTAATATTGGGTCATGAATTGGGTGCTGGCTTCAGGTTCGCTCAGGTGGAAGTGGCTCAGAAATGTGTCCATTTTCCAAGAGCCTGGAAGGACAAACAGACCACAGGGAGGTGACGAGACAGAGCTGTGGACTTGAGAACTAGCAGGAGCCCGAGAGGGAGGCCGGCTCTGGGGAATAGAGATGGCAGGTGGTGACCCTGGCCCTTGGTCTGAGGGCAGTAGGTGTCTGGGGTGCCCGCTGGATCCTGGCTGCAGGGGAAGCCCTGGATGTTAGCAGCATCTGGAAAGGATACTTCTCAGAGGACAGTGGGGACCAAGAGTCTGGACTGAGTCAAGGACGGCCTTTAATCTCTTTCTCCAGGCCTTTATTTGGCACAACTCTGCCTTCTCATTCGTGTGCAGAATGGAAATGCCTGGTCAGGTGGGCTGCCCACTTCTGCCTCCCACCCGTCTTTTCCTGCAAGTTCCCCTGACCTTGTGACTGTGGTCTGAAGGCCGCTTTTCTTCATACCTGGTCACCCCCATTGCCAAGGCTAGGATTGGCAGAAGTGTCTATGCCATTTCTTCCAATCTCTTCTCCAGAAGCCAGCCCGGCCACCTCCTCCCCAGTCCCAAGAGACCTCGTGCGACAGGGCTCCTTCCCCGGTGGTGACACAGATAAAAGGCGGGGCACGTGGCCAGGCTGCTTCTCCTTGCTCTGAGGACCTAGATCCTCAGGGGGAGTGGAGAGTGGACGAGACGTTCCAGCCTGGACCCTGGGGAGGTCCAGTGGGTGCCCAGGTCAGAGGGGGCCTTCCCCAGGGGGAGAGAACACAGGGCCGTGGGGGGAAGGAGGTGCATCTTTTAGAGCAAGTGTGAACAGGCCTAGCAGCAGGGCAAGGAGGGCAGGCCCCGGGCACAGGGGAGGGGCTTAGGGAAGTGGTCAGCGGCATATTCCCACGCTCTTGTTTCCCAAACCCTGGGCCTCAGGCACCCTTGGTGGATGATTACCAGATAAAACACAGGTTGCCCAGTTCTATTTGAATTTCAGAGGAACAACGAATCCTCTGTTAGTGCAAGTGCGTCCCACATATTGCATGGCCCAGACTTATACTAACAAATTATTCCTTGTTTATCTGAAACTCAAACTGAATTGAGCACCCTATAAGGACAGAGGAGCCTGGTGGGCTATAGTCCATATAGTTGCAGAGAGTTGGACGTGACTGAGCACACATTTACTTACCTATTTAATGTATTTATTGGGTTGCCTGAAAAGTTCGTTCTGTTTTTTTCATATGCTCATACAGAAAACCTGAACGAACTTTTCTGGCCTACCTAATATTTATTTATCCCCACCCCACCTTCTCCCCCTGAACCGCCCCCAATCTAGCAGCCTTTCCCGGCTAGAGGAATTATTGCGGGTAGACCCTGCCTGGAGCAGGGTCTAGACAGTGGCTGATACAGCCTGAACCGATGGAGACCTTTAACACACCAGGAGGATGAGGTGGGGGGCTGGCAGCCTAGCAATCCTCCCTGAGCCGCCCCTTCACCCACCTGTGGCCCTTCGACTGCATCCACCTCCATTTTCAGCAATGAAGAAAGCAAGTCCCCTCTCTCCGCCGCCTGCCCTCCACCAGCTGTTGGCATTTCAAAGATGTTCTCAAGGAGAGGATAATTTTTAATCCAAATAAAACAATGATTTGGAAATAATACCAATAACACGGGGACTTCTGTGATGGTCCCGTAGGTAAGACCTGGCGCTCTCAATGCCGGGGGCCTGGGTTCCATCCCTGGTCAGGAAACTAAGATCCCACATGTTGAAACTAAGACCTGGGGAAGCCAAGTAAAAAATAATAAAAAATAACAACAAGACACCAACACAGTGTTTCCTGTGTGCTGGGCTCGGTTCCAGGAACTCCACGCATACTCACTTAATCCTCTCAAGGGAAGAAAAGTGAAAGTGAAAGTCGCTCAGCCTATCTGACTCTCTGCAACACAGAACACTGGAATTCTCCAGGCCAGAATACTGGAGTGGGTAGCCTTTCCCTTCTCCATAGGATGTTCCCAACCCAGGGATCGAACCCAGGTCTCCTGCATTGCAGGAGGATTCTTTGCCAGCTGAGCCACAAGGGAAGCCCAAGAAAACTGGAGTGGGTAGCCTATTACTTCTCCAGCGGTTCTGCCTGATGCAGGAATCAAACCGGGGTCTCCTACATTGTGGGTGGAGTCTTTACCGACTGAGCTACTAGGTAAGCCCCACAAGGGGAGAAGACTGTTTTTACTCTCAAAGCACAGATGGAATAATGGGGTCATAGGACCAGACTGGTGAAAAGGCTTTTAGGGGAATGGATGGGGGAAAGGAGGGCTTCCCTGGTGGCTTAGATGGTGAAGAATGCGTGTGCCAATGCAGGAGACCTGGATTTAATCCCTGGGTCAGGAAGATCCCTTGGAGAAGGGAATGGCAACCCACTCCAGTATTCTTGCCTGGAGAATCCCATGGACAGAGGAGCCTGGTGGCCTACAGTCCACAGGTTTACAAAGAGTTGGACACGACTGAATAACTAACACACACACTTCAGGAAAAGGGACACAACAGGTTCCCTCAAGTCTTCTCTGGCTCTGTGCGCATTCAAATTGGGCCTTTGAGGGCTAGAAAACAGGTGTTTCAGGGCTTCTCTTGGGGAGGGGGCAGTGGCCTGAGATGAAGACCCCACTGATGGGGGTTGGGGGGATGGTGGGGGGCTGCTTTCCACTAGGATGGGAGGGAGGGAGTGAGGAGAGAGCAGGTGCTCGCCTGTCTGTGGCCTCTGCCCCCAGGGAGCTGGGCTGGCTGGAAAATCGTGTAGTATCGTGGTCGCGTAGTATCACAACCCTGGGAAGGGGTGTGTGTGCGCATGTACGTGTGCATGCAAGCTTGCATGTGTGTGTATGTGTGCGCCAGCGCCAGGGAAAGGGTCATGGGTGAACTGGTGTGTGGCTGGCACGGAGGCAAGGGGACCTTCCCCACAGAGCACTGCAGGAAGGAAACCTGTGGCAGGGAAGGAATTGAAACTTGTCACAAGATCAGGGCAAGTTGGCAGAAAGAAATCCCCCTGCACCCAGGGAGGCCTTGCTCAGCTCTCCCAGCAGTCTGCTCTCTCGATGGAGCTTGGGGCGGGGGTGCGCCTTCCGGGTCCCATTGCCGACATCCCTGGGGTTTCGGGTTTCTTGGGCAGCTTCTCAAATCAGCCGCATCCCTCGGCAGAGGCACCCCGTGCCCGGCTGCTACCCCTGGCGGCCTCCTCCCCTGGCTTGGCCATGACTCCTTACACCTCCGTTTCCTGCCACAGAAGGTGAGAGGAACTGACCCTGTGCAAGTTCTAGAAGGAAGAGGGGTGAGTCAGGCCCTCTGGGCTGTGTGGGGAGCTGGGAGGCTGTGGCTTCTGTGGTCGCCGCGCCGGAGGAAAGCCCCATCCTGCGTGGTAGTAGCTCTGGAGGGCTGCCCTGCAGGGAGGGGTGGGCAGCCGGCTTGCTCAGGCCACGCCCCTTGTGCCCGGACCCACCCTGGACCAGCTGTGCCTGGGGAGCAGACAGGACTGGCCACTGCACTTCTCAGGTCTCTGTGGCACGAGGCCTCCGGCTGCAGGGAGACGGGAGGAGGGCGGCTCCCGAGCCAGCGGCTGGAACACAGGGGTTCCTGGTCTCCTAAGGACGGGGCTGTGGCCGAGGATGTGCAGGGTGTTCCCTGCACAGCCCTAGGGGGCTGCTGTTCTCATCCAGCAAAACCACACACACAGGCCGTTTGCTCACTCATTGGGTGGTGCTGTGAGATATGTTAAATAGTGGGCTTCCCTGCTGGCTCAGTGGTAAAGAATCTGCCTGCCGACGCAGGAGACCCAGGTTTGATCCCTGGGTTGGGAAGATCCCTTGAAGAAGGGAACAGCAATCCACTCCAGTATTCCTGTCTGGAGAATTCCATGGACAGAGGAGCCTGACGGGCTATAGTCCATGGGTTCAGAAAGAGTCGGACACAACTTTATTGACTTACCAACTCAACAGTAACAGACCTTAGAGATGTTCCAGACCTGGGCTGGGAGCGGGGGAGCGGGGAGAGTTAGGTCATTTCATCTAAAGGCATGGGGAGAGGGTGTTCTGAGCCTCTCTACCAAACACTGGGAGGGGGTGAGTGACCCTTGTCTTCAACAAATGGGAGACAAGCTCCAAGCTTCAGAGACTCATCCTATGAATTTGAGTCTTCGGGATGGCAAGACTGGAATGTTCAGGAATGGCCCTGAAGGAAGTTTTGACAGTCCATCTCTTCACTCCCAGCTTTCCAGATCTGTGGGGCTGGCTTACCACTGCTTGGGAGTGGTTCATCACACGGAATGGACCCTCCCCCACCCCCGCCACCATCTAGCCTGTCAGGGTTTAAGAGGCAGGTGGTTCAGTAGTAAAGCATCTGCCTGCCAGTGCAGAAGACCTGGGTTTGATCCCTGGGTTGGGAAGAACCCCTGGAGAAGAAAATGGCAACCCACTCCAGTTTTCTTGCCTGGGAAATCCCATGGACAGAGGAGCCCGGTGGGCTGCGATACATGGGGTCACAAAGAGCTCACAAAGAGCTGGACACGACTGAGTGAGCACTCATGCAAGAGACTGAGAAAGTGATGCTACACTAGTCCAGAAACACCCACCCACCAGGGTTTGGGAGAACAGGGCAAACAGCACCTGGGCTGGAATTCAGAAGCTCTGAGCTGAAGGGAATCTCAGACCTTGGGATCCAGGCCCCCCCAACACTGACAGCTGCTTTTAGGGGCTGCCAGGAGTGGTGGAAGGTTACTTGATCCAGGCCGCACTCCTGCCCTTGACAAGTTTATAATATAGGATGATCAATCCTGCATTAGGGCCTTTCCTGTTGGCCCAGAAGTTAGGAATCCACCTTCCAACGCAGGGGGACTCAGGTGCCATCCCTGGTCGGGGAACGAGGATCCTGTGTGCGGAGGGGCAACTAAGCCCATGCCACAACTTCTGAGCCCAGGTGCCACAAGTAGAGAAAGCCCACACGCCGCAGGAAGGCTCAGCACAGCCAAAATTTAAAAGAAAGAAAAGAAACTGCTTTAAAAAATGA